AGGGGGGGGGTGTTTTACGGAGCGGGTTGTCCCAGCACGTGAGACATGTATTTACTTGGCCTAATGTCCTGTCTTGTGCGTTTGCGTGAGTGCACCTTTAAGTCTAACTTTTGTAACGTCTACTGCCATTGTTAACGACTAAGACATATTTCTCCCTGCGAGATGAATAAAGATTGTCATTGTCATTGTCATTGTCATCAGTTTAAGCCGTTTCAAACTGAACTGGCGATAAATAAGGATGTAACGTTTTCTGAGGGCACTTTATGCATGGCGCTGCAGGATATTTTTATGAATGCCCTCCTTAAAGTAGCATAATTTGATTGCTCTTTCTGTTACCATAAATTAACTTTTAGCAACAAAGTGCTTACCAGATTACATAATATAAATAGCAACAACTTGGGTTAAATGTAAACTGGCTTACCGTGGGAGATGCTTGGTAGGACTATGAGCAGGCATAAACCTACCACAACGGTTGACACTGTAGAGGGCATGGTTGATGAGTTAGTGACACTCTTTGAAGTCCCTTTCGATTCACACTAACACCAAGACAATGCCGTTGAATATGCCTAAATCGAAGTTGCAAGCATTCAATTTTTTTTAAAAGATACCCAAACGCGTCCTGCGATCTGTCTACCTCGAGGCCTCAGTGAGATTCTGATTCGAACAAGTAAACAATCAGCTTATGGACTGTGCTTACGATTCGACTTTATATAGAAATTGAAAGTTAAACTGTTGCGACGTGACACGATTAGACAACGAGCTAGGTGATCTAAAGTGTGTATTACGAGGTTGGATGGAATCACCGCACAGATTTCGACGTCTATAAACTGAGAAGTGTGCGCGTCCTCTTAAATAAACACAGAGAAAACTGAGGCCCCATCTCTCTGCTAATAACTCGGTTTGCCTTTAACTCCCTGCCAAGAAGGCCTCAGTCGGTTCTCAGATAGTCAACTCTTACGTCACATCCCGTTTGATCCAGGTTCTTATCTGGACAACTAAAATGGGACTGCGAAAGACCGACTATCTGCGACTGCGGACGTCGTTAACATTATGAACATCGTAGTCAGAAACGACTTTAGCAAGAAAACTTTGGCGTCAACATTCTCAACAAGTCTACACAGCAGCTGTTGTGGTTCCTCTCATTGTTTGATAACGATTGACACAAAGAAAGTAATGTGCCTTAGCCTGGACACGCACACGTGTGCGCGCGCGCGCGCACTCACACACACACACACACACACACACACACACACACACACACACACACACACACACACACACACACACACACACATTCTCGAGTAATATCATCCTAAAATACTGCATTCAGCCATTCAGTATTCATCACCCACACATTAGGATTCAAAAGTGTGTCAAAATAGACAAAGATATTAACGTGGCAGTGTCACAATACAATCAGATTGGAAATCATCTCAGAATATTGCACACCATAAACACAAGGTGCGAAAGTTGAGTTAGAGATCTACTTCGCATGATGACAGTTTTATTTCAATTTTAGTAAGTTTTACAGCACAATAAATATAGGTCATATAAGTACCAAAAATGAGGTCTTACTAGAGATCAAAATACAAAGAAAAGGAGAAGCCATAAGGACGTCGGACGATAGATGAGTGATAGGAAAAAAGGAGCAAACCCCCACCAGAGCACCCGCCAACCACCCACGCTTGATGAAAGTTTAGTTTTAGTACAGTAGTCTCCGCCTAAACGCACGCCATACAGAAGCACGCTCTGCGGCGCTCGCAGCTGCATGAGCGCCAGAAGACGAGGGGTGTTACAAGAGAGTAACAAACATAAAAAAGAAGAAGGGGAGATAAGGACGATAGATGTTTGATAGAAAAGAAGAAGCAAACCACACCAGAGCACCCGCCAACCACCCACACTTGATGAAAGACAACATAAAAACATATTGAGATCAGAGTGCCACTTGTCTAGTTATGTTCATGTAGATGAAATGAGTCCTTTTCAATTTACCTTAGTCAACCCTAGCAAGTTCCCCAGTAGATTTCGAGGCAATAAATAGGTTCCCTGAACACCAGAAGGAGGTGCTACCCATCTTATACTTATGGTGGGAAACACACTTAAACATCTATTCTTACACCTTTTCTCCTTTCTGACTTTCTGTAACCTACTCTTCTAAATTCTTTAAAATGGCACAGATGCACAACTTAGAACATTTATGAGGAAGGCTACTTCAAACCTGCCCACCAAGACCAACCCGGACTGAAAGGGTTAAAAAATAAAAATCTCAGTAGAAAGATGGAGACACTAGATTTTATAAAAACCCACAAACAGGACTTGAACCCACGTCTCCCGCATGTGATGGTGAAGTACTTAACGACCACACCAGACACTGGCCCATACTTTTCTTATTGTGCCAAGAGACAAATTAACTTTTAAAAGACTGTTATGTGCCAAGTAGTGTTGGACTCCACAAAACAAAATCTACTTTCTCCCTTAAGACAGACAAACTTCTGCAGGACGTAAACAAGACTTTTAGGTTTAATAAGATTCTTAGGACATTTGCAATATAATTAGGCCATATACATACCGGAGATTAGAAGTGTTACAAGAGAGTAACAAACACAAAAGAAGGAGGAAAGATAAGAACGATAGATACATCTGATACGAAAGAATGAGCAAACCACACCAGAGCACCCACCAACCATCTTCATCCTTAAGATCGAAGAAAGCTACATGTTGTAGGCCTATATGATAAGAGCATGTTGTAGGCCTATATGATAAGAGCATGTTGTAGGCCTATATGATAAGAGCATGTTGCTGAACCAAGTCTTCTCTGATAGACTATAAATATTTGCAAAAAAGCAAAGGAAGTAGGGAATAGCGACTACTTAAAATAAATGAAGGTAAAAAAAAAAAAAAGAACTAACACATTTTTATTCATAACTTCTTTAATTTATGAAAGGTACAAAAACACATCTGTATGAAAAATATCAGAGATTTCTTACAACTCAGCTACTGTACTTCAAGTAGGCGAACACATTCATAGAGTACAGTTACAAAATCATCTTCACAGAGTCAGTCACTCTCTGACAAGACTATCATACACACAGTTATAGGGGCGCACACATGACATGCATGCGCGTACATGCATGTGCACATGCACACACACCACACACACACACACACACACACACACACACACACACACACACACACACACACACACTGAGTCACTTTGAATGTAGACACGCAGACAAACTTGAAAAACAATCTCCCTCCCTCAACCTCTCTATCTTTATACTGCCTTCCTGAATATGGTAGACTGATCACTTTTTGACATTTGTGACACAGCGTGGTGAAATCATCAAAATAATGAAAAAGAAGAAAAACTGTATTTTTCTTCCTGTTTGACAATTTTTATCAAATTTTTGTTTTTTGGCTCAACATTTATGTCCCTTTAAGAAAAGGCCTACTTTGCTATGTGGCTTTTACTGAAACACGTTGATTAAAGACACAAAAATAGTAATACATCAGTTTCCAAGGACTCTAAAACAATGGAAGTGAGTGGAAGTTACCAAACTTTGGGGGCCATTTTATAGCAAATTTACCTCTGACACCAGGTGACAGACACCTTCTTCAATTGCAAACATCTTGACTTCTATTCAAGATAGATGGGTAACTTTCATCGATTCTGTCGCACCATGACACATTTTACTTTATTCTCACAATGTATAATGTACGTCAAAAACAAATTATTTCCCTAAAATCCCCTGAAAACTTACCTACTATAACAAAAAGTAACTGCAGTATAATCCGCTTATATCGACATGCTTTGGGAAGTGGATTTGAAGTCGATATATAAAAATGTCGATAAATGGAAATATAAAGCCAAAGAGTAAAAACAATGGGAGGTCAGTGGTAAAAAGACAACACTACTTTTTTAAGTTGGTTGCTTCCCTTGATTCTTACACAACTACACAGTAAAACTAACAAGAGGCGGGAAGTGGGGGGGGCCTGATTTACGGCACCAAAGACCGAGCAATGCGAAGCGCACACAACACAGCAGCCCAAACTTTGTTGTAGCATCCTTGTAAGGCCTGTTTATGGCCGCTTGCTGGGGAAAATGGAAAGGCGAGGCACTGACTCATTGACCGTGGCACTTGCCAGCGACAGACAGAGAATGGGATGGGGAAGTGGAGTGAGAGATCGGTTGTGGGGGTAGGGAGGTGATTCCCAGCACGCCAGATGCTCACGTCTGTGAGGCACTGTACTGTGTTGGAGACTACACTGTGTAGGCCCTACATGACCTACTCAAGCCTGGTGTGTCGAATAGGCTACTTGGCAGGTAGGCAGACTTAATGAAAAACTAATGCGTTGACCATAAGCGTGGCTTTTTACCCCCATTTATGTTTGTGGGCTTCGCCAGGTACCCAGGGAGCATGTCGATAAAGCAGAGTGGGCCGGACAAAAAGTAAATATATAAGAGACATTGTTTAGTGAAGATATTGAAGGAAAAATTTCGTAATTGGAAAATATGTCAATATGTCAAAATGTTGATACATCGGGTGTCGATATAAGTGGATTATACTGTATTTCAAAGGTACATTTTAGATGTGGCTTTCAAAAAGTAGAAATACTCTACAGAACTCGGGATTTCAGAATGTGAACGTTACAACTGAGAGTACATTTTAAGCCGAGTACATTACACCATGGTTTTACCGGGTACTATTTCATACCCAAATTCTTTTCACAATAAACAAAAAATTTTTTTTTAAATTTATAGCAATTATTCATTCAGCTGAGCCTCTCTATTTTTTAACGATTCCTCAATAATCATTGTTAAATCAATATAATCAATACACTCCGATCAGGTCATCAAGTTTGATATTATTCAGTCTACCTAGTTTGAATTCAATGTTATACATTGTTGTGCAAAAGAAAAAAGGAGAATTTTGGAAATCTTTTTCGTTTTTAAAATTGTTCTAACATCACCATGGTTCTACATTGCATGTTAAAATATTTGATAAAATAACTACAATCCAGTAGGGATAATGTTGATCCAAAAGTAGGAGGATTGAACTGAACTTTTTTTTTTTTAAGAATCTTATGAAAAAAATTGGGAAAAAATTCTTCGCAAATACAAAAAAGTGTGCAAGAACAAACACTAAAAAAAAAAGAGGCCAGGCTCCTATCACTTCACAATAATTCCCATGGTTATTGCCCCTTGGAAAGCTTATTCCAGTTTGCTATCTCCACACCCAGGGACAAAACTGCGTGGCAGCACATCAAGGGCTCAAACCCTGTCATTCACACATATGTCTCTGGTATCCATGGTGACATTTTGCTACATCAGAATTAAAAAGTTTTAATCGACATTTCTGGCTGTTTTAAGTTACTAAGACCATGAAGTCAGAAAGCGAATGCTCTATCTGCTCTATCAAAATCGTGGATAATATTTGGTGTCGCTATCAAGATATTCAAAGAATTGTATTAGAAAAAGCTTGACATAATGTGAAACTTTATAAAATTTTGACGTCAAATTGCTCAAAACTAGGTACTGAGCAGATAGAACTTTGTAATTTTGAGGTAGCGTTTTAAAAAGACCTTTTCTTTCATGTGAAAGTAGTACACTGTATTTGGCACAACAGGAATATAATACGGTACCATGCTCTCATTGGTCAAGAGAGGGACAAACTGAAACCTCAGTATTTTTTTTCAATGCAAAAATCAAGGCCCCGGACTTAGAAGAATTCAATGCAATGTACCACATGTCATTGTGTCTTTTTTCCGACATAAATTACACTTTCCGAGTGGGGAAGTAATAGGTTCCTTCATGAGGCAATAGCTCTAGGATACCATCAGTGTCCAAAGAGAAGTTGAACCAGGCCTGGGAATAAAAAGAGTTTGTGTCCACCTCCGGTGGCTTGTACACTTCAGCTGGACGCTGCTCTCTATGTCCTGAAATGTACAAGAAAGAAAAAAAGGAAATCAAATATTTGCTTCCAGTAGACAACTATTCTTGTACAATACACCAACTTAACACCCATCCTCCATACAACACAACTATATATCAGCATTTCTGATGATGTATTCCTGCTGCTGGCAAATATATGCCCTTTCCCACCAACAAGAGAAACAAACAGCCTATGTTCTCTCTAATAAGATATTGACATGTCAATGCTTAACACAACAAAGACCAAGTGCTGAAAGGAAAGTACTCTACTTTACTCTACTTTACACCCCATTTTTTGTACTTTTTTATTCCAATTTTTTTTGGGGGGGGGTCATGATCCTTAGATTTTGCTGAGGCTGACAAGCTATAAAAAGCAGCAGTGTCTAATTTGTGTATTACTCGTGCACTATGAATACATTAATTGTCAAATTCTTTTATCTGTTTCAAAATTCAAAAGAGTCCACAAGGCTTCTTTAGTAGTTTGTGAAGGGAAGCAGAACTTCATATCAAAAAGAGGACATCTAATTTTCAGACTTAAAAACACGACAACACTTTGCACCTTTACTTAAATCTCAAGACTTACCAAATAAACTCTGAACAACAGTCATTCCTCGCCTTCCCTGTAAATATTCAAAACTTAAAGTTAGCTCATTGATAATCCAGACTGAGCGACTACAAAAGACTATGTTTGGTTGTAGTCGTGGCAAATTAGCATGATAATCGGTAACTAATGTGATATGTACATTTTGTCAACTTTACTTTTCTTTTCGTACTGAATTTTAATGAAAGTAATAAATAATTTAATCTTTCTGAATAATTGCATGAGTTTTACTGTCCTGTACAGCCAAAAAAAATTTCCCCCTTGGACAATAAAGTATTATCTTATTATCTTATCTTATCTTAGTAAAGCAGCAGTAAAATCATATAGGAGGAGCTGATCCCATCAGGGAATCCACCAACAACAAACTTAACAAACAAGTCTCCTTCCTCTGTGTGCCCCAGCTTGATCTCACAAGTATTCAACAGTAAATTGTTAGACTTGCAGAACCCCACATGACAACAGGATCTCCTATTTTTGGTCTATTTCTTTGATAAGAACAAAAAATTCTCCACCTTTTACGATGTCATTTTCAGAAGCACAATCGATCATTAAATCGATCAGTAAAACGCATAATATAATCTATATCTCAATGGTAAGAAAACAAAAATTTCAAAAACATATAAAACAGACAGGGAATCAAATATAACTATCAGAAGTGAAACTATTCAGATCGAGGGAAATTTGAACATCTGGGCTCTTTGATCATAAGCAAATGGGATATCAACAAAGAAAAAGACATCTTACCAAAGTTATGCAAAAATTGACAAAAAATAGAAAAATATCTTTATAATGGTACTAATAAATAAACAAAATTTAAAATTCCCGAAAGTCATACATTCCCAAAAGGCGTCTTTGCATACAAATCTTGAACAGCAGAAACAGAAAGACATCAGAAAAGGCAATAAACTATTGGAGCTAAAGCACTACTGTTACAGAAGGCCACCACAGGTGTCTTGGACTCAAAGGACAAAACCCACTTATTTTGGAAAGAAATAAAACTAAAAAGAAACTGGCTCTTAGATACGACTGGCTCCTTGATACAAACAGAAAACACAAAATGAAATACTTTTGTCTCATAAAGAGATGCAACAGTCTTAAAAGGACACTTCTAAAGGAAAAGTTCCTGGAACTGGAAAACATGGCAGATGATGCCCATAAGGAAGACAGAATTAGAACATCTCTGAATGACTGCAGACAAGTGTCATCAAAGCTTAGCAAAGAGGCTGTTAAGAAAACTATGCTCTGACTGGGAACACACGACATAGAAGAAGCTGCAGTACATTTTAACAAACAAAACAAGTCAAAAGCCAGTTCTTTTATACCTGCTTGACTTGGTTCTCTTGGAATTCAAGGATATCCCTCGAGTACCTGAAAGTTTTATAGAAAAAAAGCAACTTATAAAATATCTGTAACATACTACTACGACAGAAAGACTTACTATCAGCCCGATTCCTTGGTTCTTCAAGATTTTTTCATCCCTTTCATTTTGAATGGACGGGGAGGAGAGGGAATGAAAGATAAGCTTTAGTGATATTGATAGTCACCACTCTCCTTTTCCCTTTTATAAAATAGTACAATGATCAAAAAGAAAAGACTTTCAATTTTAATGCCTATCTCCCAAAGATCCAAGTGTGTTGAGAAGCATGGAAACCCCTATAACATCTTATGTTCAAGAATACCTCTTTGAAGAACAAATTAGAGCGAGCCCCGTGACAGTCGACATGATTTCAACTAAGTCTACGGGTCTGCCCAGCCCACATGAGTGTGTCATTGAGTATACATCTGTTTACAAAAGCTGGGTTCCCACAAATTTTGTCACAACTTTTATCTTGGAAAACCTTGATATCTCATTTTGAGGAAAGGACTGCCTGATTTTAATATTTCAATAGGTGGCAGCATGGAGAATTCGATTTTTTCTTCTGATTGGTGTCTAAAATGTATGTCATTCCCATCAAGAGAGAGAGGATCATGCCTGAGCCCCTTCGCATTATCAAACTCAATTCCCAGCATCTAAACAAATCGATGAAACAGAAAAGAAGAAAAAAAAAGATTTTACATAACACTTAGATCATTATGTTCGGCAAAAGAACAGCTAATAACAGAATGTTAAAAAACAAAAATATAATTCCATTTTGCAACATGAACATGAAAGAAACCACCTAACCTGACAGAAGTCTTGCGTTGGTTCACAAAGTTCTTTGGTGTGATCTTGCCCTTCTTCAGCTGCATGTACTCCTGATACTGACTTTGGTTCTGCTGGGAGAACTGTTTCTGTTGCCTCTGTCGGTTTCTCTGCTTGGCACCTCCATCCCCTGACTGCTTGTCATGAATCCATTTCTTGATGGCCCTATTTGAATATCAAACATAATTGTTTACACATAATTAAATTATTGTAAAGTGCGTGGAGCCTTCTTCTAAGGAGGAATATGGATTTTTACCACTTCAAAAGCAAAGACAATCTCATTTATCCCAAGTAGGCAGTAAAAAAAATGGTTAACAATGACTCCTGCTTTTTCAAATTTGTCAGAAAAGGGATTCTTTCAAAAACGGCCATAATTTCAAAAAGAAAAGCAACACATGAAAGAAAGCTCTACAAAAGATATCAAGCACTTTATATTATTAACACAGCCCTGCCTGCTCAGAGGGTAAGATCCATAAATAAACTAGACTCATCAAAAAATTATATGAGAATGCAAGAAAAAAGATGCCCCAAGTGCATCATTTTAATGAGATTTATAAAAACAGTGAATCTGAGACATCAACAATTGCATCTGCAGACCAATATCTAACACAATAGGGGGTCAGAAAAAACATCCACCCTTCTACAAATCTCCCTTTCTCTAAACTAACTCTCGCACTCACCTGAGATATGGCACCACGGTGTACAGGTTGACATTCTGACCCACAGTTTCCTTAAGCAATGACTCTGTCTTTGCAGTGAGCAGCATTTCCAGAGGAAACCACTGAATGTCCTATATGAAGAAAAAGCAGAACACTTATTAATGCACATCGCATCAGACTTGAAATCATAACCCAAGGGTATGGTTCCCAGACATTTCCCGGATTGTCTTTGAGACTGACTGATAATAAGACCCTTTACCCCTCCCCAGTGCATCTATCTGCAAATGGGTTTCCTGAGAATCAGCTGGGACAGAAATAGTTGATGATAGTCAAAGAGCAGAGGTCACCAAACTTTTTCCAAAGCGGGCCAATATCCGAGCAAATGCTGACTGCAAGCCAGATAACTATTCACACCTCATCAGCACATATCTCACGGTGCACCGGCAGTAGAATTTTAGTTGCCACGGGGGGTTCCCCGCCAGGCGCCTTATCACGTCGAGGTAACAGGGGTCAGCTCCCTGTCGCCGCTCTGTCTGGGCAGACCTAATTTTTGGTACTTTTCAACGTACAATTTAAGGTGTATCCTTGTATTTATGGTAATTCTCATTTAGAGCACCCAAAGCACGCATTTCTGCTCTTGAGACTCAAAAAAGAACGGACGTTGTAACTTGTCTGGTTATTTCGTTAGACGCGCTGGAGTCGGCAATGCTAAATTGTAATTTTTTTGGGGACTAGCATGAGTGAAAAAAAAATCAATATTAAAAAAAGACCTCGTCAAAATCTGTCAAACTTTTGGAACATGAACGACATAGCATTGGTACAGATACTCAGAAAAGATGGTATCTGCGTATATAATAGAAAGCTGTAATTTTGCAACTTTATCCATCCGGCACACAATTTCCTATGAAGTAATTCCTCCAAATACAACTTTATGTGTCTAATATAATCGTGAATATTCGCATATTTTCTCGAAAGTTTATAAAAGTTACCATGAAGTTTCTCTATGAAAAGTACAAATCGATTTTAGTACTAGAATACATCTTCAATGTAAATCTAATACACGAACAGTATCTGTTACACTCCAGAAATTCCTTACTTTTCTTAAAACGTTAAGTATAGGTTTTGTAAGTTGACTGAATAATAGGGATGACTTCTTGTAATTGGGTTATAAGAACAATTTCTAGCTTTCCAGGGACACTGCCAGCTATATTTTTCGTTTCTATGACCATTTGCAATAACTGACAATGTGACTGATTTCTTTACATTCATAATTGTGTCCGCACATATTTCCGACACAAAAACTAAGAATGAATGTGTTAGCTGGCATTATTTTTATTCCATACAAGAAGTTTATCTCTACCCATGTATTTACACGGTTTTGTGGGATTTTTAAATCGCTTAGATTCTATATTACACCTTTTTAGATGTATGCAGGCTGCCACAGACATAGCATGATTCATGAACAAACTCAGAGTAACTTTCTCTTGTTTAACAGTAAAATAAGAGCTAACGCTGATCGTCTTTAGTTAAAAAATGCAGATATATATGCATCTTTCTTCTCTTAAAATTTGACTATTATTTCTCGCGCAAAAGACATGATATTCGTAGTCAGTTTAACACAGATTTTGGAGAGATCTGTCGTGCCTTTTTTAAACAATCATTTATTCATAAATTTGTAACTAAAATAGGACAAATTGGGTAGTCTACAAACACTTGTCTAGAACAAAAACTAAAGCACAGAAACTAACCATTCTAACGCAGAATAAATCTCAAGACATTGAGCTTTTAGTACATCCGCGTAATGGTTTGCTATGTGGGATGGGGAAGAAGTTATATCGTTTTAAACATAGTCAAAAATGCGAACTTCCTGACCGACATCGGCAAAGTCGCTTCTGGACTCATTAACCCCGTGACCCCGAGCCGGGGAGCTCCGGCGGGCTGCTGAGTCACGCTAACTAAAAGTAACAGAATTGGGCGAAAAGTGACGCCGTGATCTGAATCTCACAAACTAGAAAGCAAAATGAATTAATGAAATTTGTGAATCCAGTTAGAAGTTATGATGTCTGTAAAAACATGTTTAATTTTTGCACTGCATAGTTAAATGAAATGATAAAATTACTTTGAGGATCAAGTTATGAGCATGCAGCAAACATATCTTCCAACAAACAAACTGAGCAGCCATACTTTGGTGACCTCTGCCTAAGAGCACTGGAGTGGAACATGAAAGAAATATTGTTTCCAAAACTTTCTAAACCTTCAACAAACAAAACAATTCCACTTATTCCTTCCTTCGATCAACACAGAATTTCAAGCTTTTCATGATTTAATATTCTATAACATAATGCTTCTTTTTCTCACTACTGATCTTTCAAGGTTACCCCTGATGAAAAAAAAAAGAAGAAAAATTTGCTACAGACGATGTAAAAAGTTTAAAACCTTCCAGAAATAAAAATCTCGTGACAAATGACACCTCTGTTCAAACCAGTAAAAAGAATCAAAGCACTCATACCCTTATCTCTCTACGTGTCTTGGGCTGAAAAGCCGTATCCCATGGTATTCCATCAATTAAGTAGAGGCGGTTGAGTTGCTCGTTGAAGTTTTTCTCCAGGTACTCATAGGGATCGACATGAGGTCGTATATCAAAGCCTGTTTCCTCAAGAACCTAGAAAATATTAGCAAGGAAGAACACTACGTCAAGATCTTATATCAAAACAAGTATATAATTTAGCAATGCTCATACCATATATATAGATCCAAAATACAGTTTGTTTGATAAATAATTTAAAATAGTAAGAGACAAGCAAGTCCAGGATGTAAAAATTTTCATTTGTAAGGACATCACAGCATTTTTGTTATCCCTTCATACGTAAAGAAAAATCAAATGAAATGGGAACATTTCATTCTACTCTCTATGATCAATTCGAAAACAATGATGCCTCCATCTGAGACATTAGATACAAGGATGAGCATGTCAGATTTTGCAAGCACCTGAAATTCTACAATATTCATCAACACAAGAGTCACCAGTATACTAATAAAAGAACAAGATCAGAAAAATTCTGTTTTTTAACCCCAGTCATGACTGACATGTAATAAAAGTAATGATACTTCAGTATTTTTTTAACACAAATCACTCCTTAGTATTATTAGCACGAAAAATACAGAAAAATTCACAACATATTGTTTTTGCTGAAATAAATTTTTTGACAAAATTGAACGACCTACAAAAAAAAATGTGGTTCATTATAAAGGCACAACGGTGAAAGAAAAATTAGAAGGACAGGGAGGAGGAAAAAACAAAGTACCATAATAAAAGGGTGAATAGTTGAGCAAAGAAGCCCAATCTACCCATGGAAAGGCTGACATCCACCATGGGTATATTAATAAGCAGCCCACTTCACCACCACCTCCCATTACTGATCCCCTTTCCTTACACAATGAGAAATATCACAATAATAAAATATACTAAATTGACAATTAAGATAAATTGCAGTGTAACATAGAGTCTGCCAGGAGACTTACCTCTCTAGCAGCACAATCCACTGGAGTTTCATTCTGATTGATTTTGCCCTTGGGAAAACCCCAGCTGTTCCTACCTGAAAAACTTTGAACCAAAAGTACCTGCAAAAACAAGAATGTATTACATATCAATACATATAAGTAAGTGTGTGTGTGTGTGCATGAGTGTGTGTGTGTGTGTGTGTGTGTGTGTGTGTGTGTGTGTGTGTGTACGTGAGTGTGTGTGTGGGTGAGCATACATACATTATATTATTTCTAAAGATGGCATTCTTTCACAAATTATACAAGGTGGTAGACACAATCATGGTTCAGTTACATCTCTTACAGTGCAAAGAAATTTTTTATTTAGATGCAAACTGCATCCACCCCTCCTACTGTAACTCAAAGATACAATATTACACAGAGTTTTATAGCTCTTTTTCTATAAATGTATGAACTTGTAATCAATCGAGATACTTAACAAAGGAGCTTTTGCTATTAGTAAAATTCCATGCAGTGGCACACGCAGTTTGTCTTTCATTACACTGTGGCTCTGAAGAGCATGTCATCGGAGTCTAGTCTCAGCAGGGAGAAAAGAAACCTGCTGAAGCTTTCCGATCAAGGATCTACAGATCTCAATTAGGAAGTTTTTAACCCTATCCATACCTCCTGGGGGTCATTTTGTTCCCCTGGGGTTGTATTCTTCACATTTTAGAATACTTCTAGTACAAATATCTCTTTAAAACTTTTACAAGAGATGTTTCACAATAGCTGAATAATACATCCTCTCACAAAGAACAACCATTGTTTCTTACCAAACCAAAAGATAAAAGATCAAAATATTTTTATTTAAAATTTACTTATATTAACTCACATGTTTCATAGTTTGGTCTATGATAATTGCACCATACGTTCCAATGGTCCGTTTGTACTGTTTCCAGGCGTCAAAATGTTTGTCAAATTCTGCAAGATACTGCTTCAACTGAGGTACATGATTTATTACTGTCTGTTAAAGAAAACACTTTAAAACTGGAGGTCATCTGAAGAGACTTGGAGATGAAAATGACAGAGAAAGGTATATTTTTAATATCTTTTAGTTGGAATATAAATATACTTGTATATCAGCTTCTATTGTCTATCATGTTAATTTTTTTTTCAACAATTCTGTTTGTGTACAACTGTTGATAGAAAAAAGAGTACCGGTACACTTGAAAACTTTTTATCCTTTTATTTTGTCCTGTGTCATATTTTCAGAAGTTGATATATGTGTCACGACGTGGTGCAATCAGGCGCTTCTCAATTTTTGGGCATGTGGAGTTATTGGTATCCTCTGAAAGCTTATTTATTCGCCTTGCTTCCAATAAAATAAATATCCATTTATTTTGAATAGATTTTAAGACATTTGCGATTGAAGGAAGTGAGGTTGCCTTGTTTTAGTGGTGAAATTAGCGAGAAAATGGTGGCCAAAGTTTGGTAACTCCAATAGTTAAAGAGTCTTCGAAAACTGAAAACTGACATATTTAGTGCCTTTAATCAATGTTTTTCAGTAAAATTCACATGGAAATGTGTTTTTATATATATGTGGACATAAAGAGGTTAAGTCAAAAAATAAAAATTCAATAACAATTTCCACACTGGAGGAAAAATTCCTGTTTCTCCGATTTCGTTATTTTGACGAGCCCCTGATTTCACCACACTGCCTCACATATTTTCTTCAGTTTTACAATGATCATCACCAGACCGAAAGAGTTCATAGTCATAATAGAAAGCAGTTGAAGTTGAAGAGTTTGATAAGAAAATGAGCAGTTGCTCTAAAGTAGCCAGTGTGCAGGTAGCTATCAAAAGCAGATGGTCTCCCTTTCATAGTAGATTTTATTTATCAGTCTTCACTTTGTATCAAACCATCAAGAGCCTGAAAGCTTAAAGTCAATTACACTTGTCCATTTCAGTTTTTAGAAGTACAAAACAGAAATCTTTTAAGCAACAGATTAACATCTTGTTTGCTTGATTTTGAGTTTGTGAAAATGATGGGCAGCTGAAACCTGGATTAAAGACGAGCGTCTGTTGTGTTGCAGTTAGGCGCTTCACTGTCCCATGCAGGAGACTCGAGTTCAATTCCTGAGAGGGGAGAATTTTTAATAGGTGTATTTCAGTCTTTTTGCTGGGATGTTGTATCCCTCTCAGCTCGTGTTGGCCCTGACAGGCAGGGTCTGAAGCCCACCGCTTAAATGATCTAAATGGTGTCGATGGGGACATAAAAACGCATACACTCCACTGGATATAAGGATACAATCATATGAGAACTCTCTCATAGTGCACTCCTTCAGCTGTGCGTTTTCTACACAATGAAAGTCCAAATAAAACCAGTAGGCTGTTTCAATGTGGAAAAAAATCCTAATGATGGACTTCACTTCCTCTGGTCTGGTGTTGATGATGAAGCGACTGCAGATACACAAAACAAAATTCCATACATTTCATTAGATATATGATTAATATATAATTATATGAACATGTTCAGATGCAAACTAATACCTCAAACAAGACATTTTACCATGCTAAGACTACAAAAAACTTCCCACACAGGACAATTAAGTATTTTTTTATTACCTTAATCTTATCTTATCTTAACTTATCATTGTACAATAGCACCAATTATCCAATACCACTGTGGTGAAAGACAGTAATCTCCATTTTCCCAGTAGATTCCACATATTATTATTCTCTCCAAATCTCAGCTCAAAGCTATATATATTAGTATAGTGATGTACAAGTGTAATAAGAAGGGTGGTGCATCCCTCCATGATCATCTTTCTCTAAAATTAAGCATAGAGAATAATTTTACAAGCCGAAAATAATTTTAAGAATGCTTAAACTTAAACAATGAAGTTACTGGTCACACACTTTGAACATACACCAGGTCAGTTATTTAATACAAATTAATTAATTAATAGAACTTTTCACATTTTCTTAAATCAAAATATCTTCCAACAGGTTAGGAAAACTCAAATGATCAATACTCGGCTCACCTGCTTAAATCATTCAAGACATATGCTGGGATGCACTTTCTACGTGAAATTGCCCTTGCAAACTTATGACCACTGGAATTATCCATTGCTGTAGACTGTGTATGGCAAGATAAGAGAAAAGTATCAGATTATGAAGCAGGTTGTCAGCGAAAACCATTTGCAATTGCCTTTTGTTACAATGAGGTCTCATTAAAACATCAATTATAAAAAGAACAAATCCTCAAGTACCTACACAAGAGAACCAAGTCTATTAAGGAGGTACAGGTTTCCATTCACAAAAAAGACAAAATTGCAAGAGAGAATGGCTGTTTAATTTTCATCTGTTTGTCCCCTTAGTCATAATCAATCTCAAGTTTTTACCTCCATCCCCAAACCCCCCAAAATAGAGGAGTATGAGACACAACACAAACAAGGACAAGATGTGTTACAGCTTGGTGGAATCAGGCACTTGTCAGTTTTTGGGTATACCGCCTAAGATCCCGGTACTCGGGAGCAAGGAAATGCGGAATCTTAGGCGAACCGGGATCTTAACCGACAAACCCCGGGAACAATCTATGGTGACCCATGTTAAGGCTCACAATCGGTAAAATGGTCTCCCTCCACTCTAAAATAAACTGACGTGACCCCTGGGTGAGTTTATGGCATATGGCGAGCAAAGAGTGGTTAACTTTGATGACCTATCACACTGCATAGTGGAATGAGGCGTGCCATTATCAATTATTATCTTATCATGAGTCTCAAGATCTATGCTTACCCAGTTGCCCCTCCCCTTTACCTGTCGAAAATGTACAGCTTTCCATCTCTGACCGAGTC